ATTACAGAAATCTACAACCCTTTTCTTCCACTCTGCATCCAAAATGGCAATGGTATGAAAATAGATATAAATGTGTCTATCACATATGGATGAAAAAATATCAGAGTTACTCTTCATGTGTGTTTCTCATTAACCAATAATAGTTCTACATCTGATTCATAGCACACCTAGATATGAATCAAAATTTGCTAATAATAAAGAGTAAAACCTTTTTGGGCAAGGAGAGAAAGTCAGTCGTAAAGAGTTGATGTTGTTGTTGATGATCTGGCCCTTTCACTTGATGGAGCACACCACCAGTGATGCCCAAATCCAGAGAAAGAATGAATGTGTATCATCTGAAGGAGCTGTGCAAATTGCTCATTTCAAACCATAGCACAGAATTCTTTATATTAAGCTAGATATCTTTAAAAAAACTTTAACTTTACAAATTAATTGTAGTAGAGTGAAGAGCCACCAATTTTGTTTCTCACTTTAACATAGTACAGAATTAGATAGATAGCTAGATAGATAGATTTTCAGCCATCTCTCTGAAGACATACAACAAATACTTTTCTTTACTTATTTCTTAATTTTCTACTTCCTTGTCTGTGGGATTTTTCTCTGGAAAATTAAATTGTGGCCAGGATATACCACTGAGCCTGCACTGCAACACAAACTAAGTAACAGATATTGGGACATAGCTTTATTCCTTCTTTTTTGGACTGTTCTCCATGTCACTTTTTCCTGTGCTACTGAATATTTGATGACTTCTCAGAGAGATGCACAGCTTACAATTTTCATCTTTCTAAAAGGAGTGCTAGGTTACTGATTCATTTATAATGCAGTAAAATTAAACTAAATTAAACACAGAGTTACACACTTCTGTGTTAAAGTGATGTTGCTGGGTAAAAACCAAAGCTATCAGAAAAGCCCAGGAGCACTACTTTCATAATTGTTTTTTTTTCCTCCAGAGAACCAGTTTATCAATCCTAACCCTGTAAACAAACATGCCAGTGCTATCACTTCTGCGATACACATTTATCAGTACTGACACATATTATCACATTGCTGTATAGTTTCTTTGATCTTTTCAGATCTTAAATATCTCCAGTTTTTCCTCTGTAAAACAGTCTTGCCCATGAGAGAGAGCTGCTAGCAAGAGGAGGGAACATACATATTCAGGACCAATACATTTGATAATCAAGTATTAAAATGAAAACAGAAAGCTTTCCTGTACAGAAACAATACACAGACTTTTGCAGTGGGTACAGAAACACCAGCACAAGGAAACATTAAGTCACATGTGCACACAAAAGCAAACATATAGGAAGGCAAAATCACCACCAGAGTCAACCAAACTCCCCACTATTACCAGGTGGGATTTTCTGAACTCTCCACCCCTTAGAGGCAACATTTTGTAACAAAAGCTTTCACTGGAAACAAGCACCAGAAAATTCTCTACTTTTTTCCAAGGTTTGGGGTACAATCAACCTAATATTTCTTTTTCTATCTATACTTATAAGGCATTACTAATCCTTTTCTGAAAAAAAAATGCTTGGATTTAATAATTTACGTCTTTTAGCAAAGCTTTTGCTATCGGTAATGCATACAAACATTCTTCCTCTAAATCCAGTGATGAGGGCATCATTTCCCCAAGTCACTCATGTCATTTGACCAACTATCAGCAACCAACAATCAAGCAATATGGATTCCCCTGATGGGGGAAAAAAAAGAAAAGAACCAGTGGGAAGGAACTTTCATTTCTATCAGTTTGATCTTTACTACAACACGCTTCTGTAGATTTCCCCTGTATAATTAAAATGTTCTCCTTTAGGTTCACTTTCTTTTCTTAGGCAAAGATCTTTATCACTCTAACCATAAGATCTAGTGTGAACATATGTATGTTATTACCACTTTAAAATGTGGAAGAGGACTTCAAAAGCTTTTTATTTATTGTAGCTGCTGTGCACTACATATTTGATAAAAACCTCACAAGCAGTTTTTCCAACCCAGTAAAGCTATTTAAGAACAAAGAAAAGAAAATGGCTACTGTTCCTTTGGGTCCTCAAAGACTGTGGAGCCAGCACCCATCCCCAGTTTTTTCTTATGCAGTTTGCCAACAGCAAGGATGAAATGAGTTTTTGCAGTGCACAAATGGCTTCGTAGCTGAAACTACCATATAAAGCACAGCTTTGGTTAGCAAGGTCATGGTTTTGAAACAGGTTATCTACATTCACAACCATAAACATATTAGAATAACATCACAAATCTACAAAAATATCCTTTTCTACCTCAGAAATAAATTTACTTCTAGTGATAATATGTTGTACTGATTTGTGATTCCTCATAAAGTGATAAACCAACTGTGGGAAACCCAAAACAGCAATCTTTCTGAACTCAGGTACAAGCATTGAAGCAAACATACTGTAAATGATTTTGCTCCCCTTGTCTCAGAGACTGAAGTTCATTTCCCACGTAAGCAGTCTAGAAAGTAGTCTATTTCAATGTCTTTCCAATTTTTGAGATGTTGTATGCTTCACCACTTACCAGAATGCCCTTCTGGAGGAAGAAAGCAGTTTTAATGTGATCTATGTGTAATGTAGTTATTATGAAACATAAATCTTACTAGTACTTGCGGGATACTCTCCGTCATCTCCTTCATGGAAATCACTGGCCACCGTCCTCAGAGAGATGTCAGGTGATACAGATGTAAATTCATCATCTGTATGGTGATAGATAAATCATTACTGTTTCTTAAGCTCAGTTGCAATACAATACTCACAAGTTCTTCAGCTACTCTACTCTGCAAGCTTCATTCCTTCATTTATTGGTCCAAGAGAGAAGAAAGATTGAGGCCCCACATAAGTTATCTCACTCACACAGTAAGGATATCATCCAAACAGATCATTTGAAGAGGAGACTGTATTACAGTGATAATGAACATTCTGGCAATGATCTGTTTGTGTGATACAAGATCTCACTGTATCTGTATGACATGAGGACACGGATTCTAGAGCAGTGAGTGAAGTTATTCATATTCTCCTCTGCTGAGATGTATTCTGAGGTTTAGTCCAAAAATCTAGATTATGCATGCAAGCAGAGATTGTAACAGTTGGAACAGCAATGAACAGAAATACACAGCACACACCCCGGGGAATGTGGGGAATGTTTCTGATCCTAGTTCCTTAGCAAGACAGTCTTAGGATTTCCGTTCATGGTGCTAGCTACATGTCAAAACAAGCATAATATGCTATGAGTACACCACCAGCCAAAAGTAATTTTATAATCCTAATGCTCTTGCTTTTTATTTTTATTAATTTCAGTATGTATTGAGGATAGTGATGCAAAATACTGGTATCCTTCACTGGTAATTTATTGGTGATTTGATAAAAAGCCTGTAGTCACACAGTAAGCTTTACTGTACTAGAGGATGATTTATAACCCTAATGTTAAATGGGACCAAGTCTTTCAGACCTCTGATAATTTCAGTCACACAAGCAACATAAAAGATTAAATAAGTAGAAAAGAACATGGCATTTGTATTTGGCAGAGCCCCATGAAATTAGTGTCAGCCTACTGTCCTTACCATAGTCTTTTCCAGGAATTCCATCTCCTCCAGAAGAATGATCTGGCAGCTGTGAGACTGGAGTAGGACTTCCATAATATGAGGGGCTGGACCTGCTGATGGAGGCATCCATGGGAGTTGTCTCATGAGTTGATCCACTACCTGCATTTTCATCATCCACCCCTGAGGTTGAGGACTCTCCACCAGTGTGACGTGTGCCATCCGCATTGTAACGGGAGCCATCCGCGTTGTCAATGACTGTGGAAACGGAATTAAACGGAATTCATGTCAAGGAGCTTCACAGCTATAATAAAGAGTAATGCCTGTGTATTTACACCAGTTTGCCCATTTTTGCCCTCCTATCTAACGTAGATAACACATCACTAAAATATGTCTAATGCATATATGCTAATTTGTATATTTTTCACTTTTGTGGGGCCTGACTTGAATCACTTAGTTTTATCAAACTGATTGATTTTAACATAATGTCTTGGCATTTGTAAAGTCAATCAGAATTTAGAGTTGGAAGAAATAATTTATTATGAGCCTTTTTTCAGCTTCCAGCAACTTTTCTAACAAACAGTTTAAATTAGATGTATGAAGGTTGCAGTCTTAAGCAAATTCCTTTACATCAAAGAGATGTTAGCAGCTCTGAGGCACCAAAAATGTCAAACACCTATATAAAAAACGTTTGGTACCCTGAGATAAACCAAATTCCATAGGCTTTAGGGGAAGACAAGTGACTAGTTGCGTTAATTTCTATTGAACATCTCTTAACTTCTTCTTCTTATGTTTGGCTTGGATTTTTTAATATTATTGATTGTTTATATAAAATAAGATAACCAGTTACTAAAAATTGAGCAAGTGCATGTCCTTCTAATCAGTACAGTACCTGTTTCATCCTGATTACTGAGTAAGGAAGTATCTATTTTTACAACTGGCTCACATGTTTTTTCCTCTGTTTCTGTGAAGAAGGGAAATAGAAAACATTAATATGAAAAAATTGATTTAAAAAATCACATGTATACCTATATCAATTGTACATAATGACAAAACATCCATTTCAGATGAGGAGGACTGAAAGCAAATTTCCAAACAAATATTATTCGCTGATGTACCACCTTCCCAGGTGGAAGTGCCTTTCCAGGCACTTCAAGATTGTTCCATCAGCTAGCAATGAGATTTTCCATTTCCATAACCATTCCAGAAAATGTCTGCAATCAGTGCCAGTTAAAACAGCCTTATGACACAATTTCAATGCAGTCAGACCCACTGTCATTGTGGCAATGGGAACTCTAATCTTTTTTAGCTGGCAAGACTCTGTCCCCTCTATAGAGGGCTCGACAGAGGCAGCGTGTGCCCTGTTCTGGTGAGCACTGCTGGCCCCTGTGTGCTGCAGTGCCCCGCTTGGGGCTGGTGTGAGAGCTACCTGCTCATGCTGCTGGTAGGGAACAATACTTGGGAGGAGTTATAGAGATTGGGAGGCGATGGACATCACCACTGTAGTCATCTGTGAACACTCATCTGTGAGTGACAAACAATGGCAACTCACATGATACTACAGCAATGCAGATATTTTTCATTATATCACTACCAAATACAAAATAAAAAAATATCACGGCATTCAAATCATCAATGAACTTTTCCTACAACTTTCTGTAAGAACTCTCTTTTTCCACTAGGAATGTCACAGTCTACTGAAATTCAAGTTCCTTGAAGTTAGTTTGGATTTTATTTTCAAGCAGTGTGTTCAGCATCTGTCACAGACTATATACACTTCCCTAATAATTTACTATAATATCTCCAAATATTAGAAAGTACAAAACTTTAGATGAAAGTGGTCTGCTGCTGATGCATGTTGCTGTCCAGCTGCCTCATGTCTAAATGGAGATTTGCCTGAGCAAATACTGAATGAATCTGCAAACAGCAGAGCAGCAGCTGTGTCCATGGGCCTGGGATGGACATCAGAAGCCTTGGAGCTGCTGCAGGTGGCAGCCACTCCGAAAACACAAAAAACTACTCTTGGCTGTAAAGCTCATCTCTGCATGAACAGAAGAGCTGAGTGCAACGGCTGACAACAGTTATGTCTTTCAGAATCACTGCTGCAGTGGTTCACTTCACTAAGCCATTATCATGAACTGCTCTGGAGCTGCAGAATTTGTCCCAAGGCCAGAAAAGTGATTTAGCTCAAAACACACTGATAACAAAATGGTCATTGCTGACATGACAGATACACTTCTAGAGGTTGACAAAAGGTATTTCTTCTAGCTGAAAACCAAGCTATGTTTATTATATAAGCCCTTATTCCAGTACCTTAAATAGATTACATATGTTATTTTAAGTTAATCTGTTGCTAAAGTGCATCGTAAAATCATCTCCTTACCTGTTGCATTGTAGCAGTATGCGTCATATCGAGCAGTTGTATTTGTTGAAAGTTTGTAAATGCCAGTGTTATTTGCTGCACAAAGATGATAGGGATTGATCCGTGGGATAACAATATGCCCCACCACGAAACCATACCTGTCAAGAACAGAGGTAAATAAACCATATTACTTACTATAGCAGATGTCACCTCAAGGATTAAGAAGCTAAAAAGAAGCCATTATTTTAGTTCCTTTTCCATTTGAATGCTCCTTTCTCACGTGCAGCTACATCAGTCTCCCGTTTCACAATATAATTTTGTGTTTAATTTCTAGACCTAAACCCATTTAAATATGTGTCTTATTAGCTAGCTGGGGTGATCAGTTTCAGATCAAAGGAGTGAAAGTGAGGAATGCGAGTGCACTTTTTGTTCAGTGTGAGTTTGTATTGCCTGACACTAAATTCCCATTCTTTAGGGATTCACAGATTCACATTTTCATTGCTTTGACATAACACACCAAAACATTTCACACAGAAATGTCCAGGGCTTAGTTTATGGTACTTGAGCAAGTTTAAAGAATGATTGCAATACACATCATTTTCTGCATGAACTGATGGCCTAGTAAAATATTCAAATGCAAGAATCATTTGTCCACAAATTCTTATTGTATCTTTCAGTTGAACAGTGTGATTATTGTGCACAGAGCTCACATAATTCAGTGAAGACTGTGGTTACATAAGGTACAATACATTATTACTATTTTGCAATCCTGTATCACCTGATTGATTCCAATATATTTAACTAGAGAGGTGACAAAATGGTAACAAAATCTGGGGTATGGTTTGGGTTTTGCTTTACTTCTTGAGAGGAATGATTTATCAGGGAGGAGTAAATGTCACAGCTTTGCAGTTTTTTATCTAGGAGCCTCATTTGAGTTTCATGTCTAATGTGCAGATACTTGCAATTCTGAAACTCTTGTAGGTGGAATTATAAATTACTTTACTTACACTCCCAACTAAGCTTACAATGCTGACACTTTACAAACCATTATTGACCTACTTGTGTTATGTCCTGTTGATTAATCTTATTCACATACATTTGGATTGTTACATGCATGTGATGGTTATATGCAGCATATTTTCCCTCTCCTACTCACGTTTAAGAAGAGCAAGAGCTTACTGACAATGACCACTTCTAGCACAGGATCAACAAACTAAAGTAATAGTGTGGGAGGGTTGGCCAGAAGGAAGGGAGGAAGAAATCTTATCTACATGGCTTACATGTCGAAATCTGCCCTCTGGTAATTTGTGAATTAGGGAAAATTGTAACATTAATTAAAAACTAAAGCTTTCCCCTGGGGAAAAAAAAAAATCCCTCTTCTTCTTTCAATTGCCTTTATATTTTAGCTTTAGAAAATACTTTCCATAGTATTTCCATAATTGCTTGCATAGAAGTCTCTACCCCTACGCATTTTTTAGGATTTGATCTTTATATATTCTGTAATGCTGGGCAATTCAGAATGCTATGTATGTTCATGTACTATTGTCAGAAAAAGAACATGCCTACTGAGTTATGATGGACTTTCCCCTCAGAGTCAAGAACTGTTTCTAGTCTTTATGTGGTACAAATTTAAATTGCCTTTCCAGTTCTGATGGAAGAATCCTCTAAGTATTCTCTGTTCACATATTCCACCTCTACAATATTTGTGAAATGAACGTGCCGGAACAGGAAATAGTTGCAAGCAGTATTGACGACAGCTCTATTTCTCATGGTACCAGAGTGAAAGTCTTAAAACTTTGGAGAAATGTCTACTGATTTTTCCAGTGCCAGTTAGAAGATAAATTCCATTTCTCCATGTTTGCTGTTTAAGTTAGACTCCAATAAAGTTTAAAATCTGCTGATATTTATATAAACTCCGTAATGGTGTGCCACCATGAATCTCCTGGGCTGCAGTGATCATACAGTGGTGGAGTTTGAAATCCTGAGAGAAATGGGTGAGTAAAGAGTAAAGTCAAAACCCTGAATTTTAGGCAAGTAAAATTCCAGCAATTCAAGGAGGTAGTCAATAGGCCCTGCTGGGAAACTGCCCTCAGGAACAAGGGCACAGGACAGAGATGGCAGAGATGGTCTTCAAGGATTCCTTCCATAGAGTGAAAGAGCTCTTGATACCAGTTTAAAAAATCAGGCCAAGCCAAGAGACCAGCGTGGCTGTGCTGGGACTAAAGCACAGGAAGGAAACGCACAGGCTGTGGAAGCAGGGTACCAATACCAGCTGGGATAAATGCACTGGGAGCAGCCCGTCCAGAAGAAGCTGAGGGTACAGCTGGATGAGCTGCTGGACACAAGCCAGCAGTGCCTGCTCGCAGCCCAGAGAGCCAAATGCATCCTGGGCTGCCTCTAAAGCGGTGCAGGCAGCAGGTCAAGGGAGGAGATTCCCCCTCTCTGCTCTGTTTTGCTGAGACCCCACCTGAAGTGCTGTGTCCAGCTCTGGGGTCCCCAGCACAAGAAGGACATGGACCTGCTGGAGTCCAATTGAAGTTGATCATGAAGTTGGTCATGAAGTTGGTCATGAAGTTGTCAGAGGGACAAAGCACCTCTGCTATGAGGAAACACTGAGAAAATTTGGATTGTTCAGCCTCACATATTTTTATATTAGGACTCAATTTTTTTGAATTAAAAGTTTTCTGTAACTTCTAGTCTCTTGGTCTAGTTATTTTTTGAGGAACTGGGGAGTGTGCATCACCCACATTTATTGCCCTATATATCACTAATTACAGAAGGTAAGTAGGTTACTTGACAAAGTGGTTTTGAGATTTTTAATAACTACTGTAGCTGTCATCTGAAACATCTTCATTCACAGATTACAAGAATGCACTAATACAGTGGCCATTTTTTCACAGGGATGTCAAGATTGACCCCTCACAGTACCACCTGCTGCTTTTTATTGTTCCTTGGCAAGACTGAGTTTCATACACTGCACACACCATCCTCAGCCTTTGACCTCACACTGGGGCTTTACTTTCCACATACTTATCTTACCAATTGTTCAGTGACATGCTAGGATCTGAACATCTTCCCAATTAGCTTATTATACTGTCAGTCTTTTGTTACCTTTAGATTTTATCTGTGAGAGATTATGATTTTTTTAAAGATAAATGGTAAAAAATTATATGCATCAAGGACTTATTACTGGATGCATAGCAAACATCCACATGCACAAAGATGTTTTGTTTACTACAGAATATAACTTGTTTAGATAATCACAGCATCTACAGTAAGTCAAATCTAATTACTACACCAGTGGTGTCACGATATACTATGTTTTCAAGAGTTTCTTTACCTGCAAGTTTCAAATCCAAGCTCATGAGCTTTTTTCAGCTGCTCTAGTGTTGCCAAGGTGCTGTTGAGAGCTCTGCAGAGTTCAACTGCTTCAGATCGTGTGAGACTGTAGCGGCCATTCTTTTCAACATGAAAAACTCCTCCATATCTGCAACTTACATTGAATTCTGTTAGCAAAAGAAAAGAAAAAAAAGGAAAAAATTTAGACCTAATGCTTCATTGAAGACCTGGAAATTATTTATTTTCAAGGGTAATGCTTTCAAAGCAAACCCGCAACAAGTACCAGCTACCAATTCATTCAGAAAAAGTAGTGCCACTTTCAATCACCTTTTTCATACTTTCCCTCTTTGGGCTGAGGCATGAGCCAAATCTCCAGCCTTCCCAAAAATAGCAATACAACCTGGTTTTTAGGGTATCTAGGACATTTAACGTACCATTAACACTAAGGTGCAGAAGAAAGGGTTAATAATAATAATATCAATACAAGTAAGTATAATCATGTGTGTAGAGAGAAATGGGGAAACAACTGGACACTTCAAAGCAATGTTAATTAATTTTGCTTCTGCCACACCTTTCCCTCAAGAAAAAAAAAGCAGTTGCTACTCTGGACTAGAATGACAACTGCAAAGCACACTTCATAGGAGTAGATATTATTTCCAGTGCAAACAGGAGCATGACTCATTTCTATCTTAATTTTAATGGAAGTTCCATGTGCAAGAAAGGGATAAATAGACCAGTCTTCTCTAATATTAAAAGGGTGTGTCTTTACTGTCTATTTGAAATAAAAAGATGACATATAAAAACTGTTTTTCCAAAAGACACAAAAAGCAATTCATGCACATTTACATTGACACATAAACAATGAACAACTTTCTTAATGTGATTTTTGCTTGACAATCTATTTTGTTCTATAACACAAATGCGAAAGCAAATTATAGTATTCAAGGTATGCACTCTTCCTTTAATTTAGTGCATTCATAAATTGATGTTATTCTGTGTACAGGGTATCTACTCATTGTAATCCTCAAGGAACTTTCCTTTACATAGCTCACAGGAAACTCTCAAGGAGATAAAACATCAGATTGGATGCAGGCTGGGTGATGCATGAGAGGACAACCACTATTCACAGCACAGGAGTTCAACAGTATTGATGTTAGCTTGTCCAAAGGAGCTCAAAAGCTATGCATCCAATCTTGAATACTTGCACCATAGGCAACAGAAATAATAATTATTGTTACTTGGATAGCTTTCCCACAAAACGAATGGAAAAAAACTCTTCTCCAATCATTCCACCTTCTCCAGTATACTGGCTGACAAAAATATTTAATTTAGAAAAAATTTGCCCTTCAGAGCTGTTTAACAGTCTTGCTGAATACAGTTCTTAGTATTTTTAATATTTTTATTATCACATATAATTAAAAAATATGGCCTGTCTGTCACTGCTTGACTACTGCTAGGATGGAGCTGCTCTCACATCTGCCATGCAAGTGACTTCTACTTTGGCTCCAAATATTTCATATTCGAAGTTTGAGATTGTCTTGGAAGTCATCCAGGCAGTAGCTGTATTAAGCATAAATGACCTAGACAAGAAAAAGTTTTCTCTTTAGTTTTCCCTTCTTGATTCTCTCTTCCTAAACATACTCTGTGAGGCCCAGGACTTAAATAGGGGCTAAGATCACAAAGTTGTATTTAACTACTTTAAAGTAACAAGCTCAGTGATTCTGGAGATAAATTTTCTTGGATCATCAACATCTTTTCTTATAATTTTAGGCTAATTTCTAAAAAGCTTTTCACTGTGAAAGCAGATGCCATATACATTTCCTTTGGGTTCCATTTGATTGCAGTTAATCCTGGATTCACTGAATTATAAAGTGAAGTTCACTTTTGCTTAGAGTGAGTTGATTTAGCAACCATCAAACCTCAGCCCATTCCTGGTTTTAAACACTACATTTATGCTCTATTATCACTCTGAGATTCACTCACAGTCAGAATTCCACTTAGAGAGCCAATTACTTAGACTTCTGCTGTTTAAAAAGCAGGCGTACTTACACAGATAGGCTTAATGGAGCTACACATGGGCTCCATGCCCAAACGTGTGTACATTGTCCATGGAAATGCTCTCCCTGAGCAGACCCTGCACACCAGGGCAGGGCTGGGAGGTACCAGGCTGACTGCATGGGTGCTGCCCAGCTGCACTGCATGCACGCACAGCAGCAAAGCCAAAGCTCCCAGGAAGCCTTGCTTGTGCAGCGTGAGAGATCACATGGGTGTCCAGGAAACCCCAGGCAAGAATGTGGCAATCCAGCTCTCAAAACTGGATTTAAGGCCATCCAATTCGTTGGCACTGTGCCCTAAAGTAATGCTGAGACAGCATCTTTGTTTTCTTTGATGGTATCTTCTACGCCTACTATTTCTAAAGTACCACTGCTGCAGCAGAGACACTGTTCATGAAGAGCTGAGTATGGAAAAAGGACCAAAACAGTACCCAAAACTCACATGGAACTTCACAGTCTAAGCAAATTGTGTAAATTCAGCATCTATTCTTTGAAGGCAGTAATTGCCACATTTTAAAAATCACAAAATACAAACCCAGAGCTATCAGGGAACGCAGCATTTTTACTGTATAGTCTCAGATTTTAACGTTCACACAATGGGGAACAATGGGGAACCTTAACTGAATTAACTGAAAAAAATTCTGATCACACCAATAAATATTATATTAAAAACAAATTATGGGATCTAAACTAAATTAATACCTTAAATATTTTTTTCCCATGCTGAGGCTTACAGTGTAATTTTGAAGTAAGGAAGAAACATGACTGTCAAATTTAAATCAAAAAATGTATTTCACCTTTTCCCATAGGGCAGGGAGGTCAAATCCATTAATTTTCTGTTGATGTTACTTAGCTGGCTTTAACACAGTTATGCAAAAGATGGATTTTTATTCTGTTCCAAGAGCCAAGGCAATGTAAAACTCATTCTGCATGACAAATATTGCCAATCCTTTTAACATTTTTGAAGCTTCAAAGGGGCTGACTCAGAGTGGATTCACAGTGAAATCACCAACAGCACGCAAACCTTCCCTCCTCTCCCCCACCAGAGCTGTCTGGCTTTGGGGCCTGACAGGAAACAATCCTTCCTATCTTCCTTCATTCACATGATTTGCTAGAGCTGTTTAATAATAGTCCTTGAAGCAGGCAAACGGTACGAAATACATTTGAATTGTCATAATCCATAATCTCACCCAGACCATGAAGTGCTCCTGTCTGTGCTGAGCTTTATGAGCATGGAAAACATAAACTTCCACATAGGCCATTTTCCCCCATCTTTGCTGGGATTTCTGGTGCCTTCTCTCAAGAAGCTGCATGCAAACCTTTCTCTGATATCTTCATTCACTTATCTAAACCAGGTTCAATTAATACTTGTCAGCCAAAATCACTAACTTTGATTCCCCAGACAATTTGGTAGCTAGAGCCCACTGGTGGGGTAGAATTGCCTCACATAGACTAAAGAGCATTGTTCTGTCAGAGAAGTGTGAGTTACACCCTGATAATTAATAGGAGAGGCTTGTTAGAAACTGTCACTGTAAGAAACCAGGTGCAATTTCCATTTCCACCCTGATTCTGCAACCCTTATGTCTAGTGAGTAACACTGACTCATGCTAACTCTTCCCACTGGAATTAATTTTCCATTAAGATTTTTGGTGTACTGTATGGATGCCTCATGCACTACTCCCCAATTTTCACTGTTTTCAACACACCACCTGGAGGTTTCATTCGCAAGGTGGACATTGTCTTTTATTTGAGGGAAAAAAAAAAAAAAGGCAGCAGTTCTTTTAGCAACTGCAGAGATACATCAAAGCAAACCAAGTGGAAGATCTGCGAACACCCTGCCCACTTGAACGAAAGCAAGTGTAAGACTCGTACGTGTTAACAGACTTCTCAGTAAAACCGCACGCTGAATTGCATAGCAACCAGGAAATGTTAGGGGGATGTTTTGGTGGGGATTTTCCTTTTCAGTTTGTGGTTAAAGATGATTGATAGCTCACCAGGATGTGCTAAACTGGGGCTGACAACAGGGACAGAACTAGAGGCTTGACAGTGCATATAGTTTTAATTCTCTTTGTTTTAATAGATATAGGATTTACATTTACTGTAAGAATTTGGTTCTATATTTATTAAGCTGATTTCTAGCTCTAGGCAGATATACAGGGATAATTGTTTCCTTATAATCACAGATTACTGAATTTTGTACTGACACTTCTGAACAGGAACAACCACCAGCTTAGCACTGATACCTACATTATAAATATCATCACCTGCTTTAAATGCTTGCTAGTAATGAAGTAGCAAAAAGTAACATACTGGAAACAGATTAAAATATATTTAAAAGAAAATCCTAGTCATTACAATTCCTCTTCAGGCAAATCTATGAATTGGGCCATATGAGTCCTGAAATCTGAGGAGGTCTGGACAAGACAGATCTTGTTTCTCAGTTCAGACCTATCTCTAGTTATGCCTGGTTTTCTAATTGTTTCTCAAGAAAATTACATCATGGCTAAATAAGAATGCATATTTTATTTCTGAGTTGAGGAAATGGCCTCCGAATACAAAATTTCACATAGGATGGGTTCATAAAACATTTCAGGATCCAAAACATTTTGTCAATGTATATATTACGTAAGTCTGATTACTGCCATTTTGACATCTGCTAGAACTTAAAATGTACAAAAATATCGTCCAGTGATTACCTAATTTACTACAACACACATGGACCTGGAAAGCATTATTTGCTGAGTATTCTACCTTTTTTTTAGTCTATTAGTAAAAAACTTCACTCAAGTAACTTGCAGCCCAGGCAACTGTAACAGGATACAGAGGGCTTTTACCTTTATGTCAGAAGTTGGACTAAAGCCCAAGTCAGTGATGAAAACCACTGGATAGCTGTTTGCTAGGTTATGTAAAATGATTCATTAATCCCAGCCACAGTCACTAATAGACACGTGTCGACATCATTAAAACACACCTATACTTGAATCCCTCAGGGCTTGATGAGGAAAGGAAAACTGTGCTGGGAAAATAGGACTCAAAACTGGGATGACTATACACTGATCAAAATTCAGAAATCAAATTTGCAAGATCCATGTGAATGAAGCCAGCAGTCCTTT